CCTAACAGGGTTTATGGGGCGTCTACAAGGTGCACGGTCGGGGGCAGGGCAGAAACCGGTGGCCGAAATGGTCGGCTCAGAGGTTGGAGAGCAGGAGATCAATGATAAGTTGCATAGGTCGTTGTTTGACCGTAACGGGCGTCTCGCGACCTTTCTTTCTTTATGGTGGACGTTTTTTTTTTTTTTCATTTCGACATTCGTTTTTGAGTGGGCGGTTTTTTTGGGGGGGGGGGTTGGGGTAGGCGGGGACTAATAAGTGACGGAAGGAATGGCTAAGCGCCCTCGCTCCACCAGTCACCGACTGTACAAAAGGTGAATGAATGAATTTTCCCACTATAACATAGAAATATACACCGCCATAGTTTTTATCTTTGTACATGTGCTGAGTAGTGCAGTGAGGCTCAAAGGTAAGGTTCATGACATTGCCTTACCATTCTCGAATTTTACAAAATGGGAATGAACTTTCCACTAGAACATGGTCACATGCACCCGCCATACTTTTTTTTTTTTTTTCACCTTTCGAGAGTGGTGTGGCGAGGCTTAAAGTTCACTGCGGTCGATCGATGGTGGTGGAGGCGAAAGGAGTGAGAAAAAGTGTCAACTCGCCTGTCCTGCTCCTCGCTTCCGATTGGTTGTGTTCCCGCGCCCTGCGGGGTACACAGTTCGTAACCCTAAGGCTGCGGTTAAGCGGGCTTCCACATTTGTGTCAAGGTGCCGCATTTTCGGCGGTGGGCGACTAGAACGCAAAGTGGGTTCTTAGGGGGCAAAACAAATTGGGGGACCAGTCCTTGGCAAAATTGCGGACTACCTACAACTAACTCTGGTAGAACCAGGACTTTTGGGAAAAGGAAGGACCGATCCTTGGGTGGAAGTGGACCCCAAAAAGGAGTGGGGGGCGTTGGACCGACCCTCAGGTAGAAGCGGATCCCCAAAAGAAGTGAGGGCATGTGAACTGCAAAAGGACCCCCGAGCCCAGGCGTTAAGGTCCGTCTTCTCGAAACAGGGAGGTCAAGCACAATGAAACAAACGTTTTGTAAAAGGCAACTTCGGCGATTTTCTTTGTTCAGAGGAACCCCCAAAAAATATAAAATTTTGCAAATCCATAAACGTGTTCTTTCCAATAATAATATTAGAACATATTAAAAAATCATTAAAATTGCAAAATAATTGTCACGCCAGTTCGATAAATTTTCTATTTTTGCCACTGCGCCATGTGTGGGTCAACGAAAAAAGTACTCAAAATTCATTGAGTTTTTCTGCTTAGAATAATGCGTGAAAAGACATGAAAACTGCAATACTCGTAGAGTTTGTTGTGATCTTTCTAGGAAAAACGCTCAATACATTCTTAAAAATCATTCCAACCGTAAAATAGATCGCAACCGCAATTTGACCCATATTTCAATTTTGTCATTCAGCATCTCTCTCTCTCTCTCTCTCTCTCTCTCTCTCTCTCTCTCTCTCTCTCCCTCTCTCACTCTCTCTCTCGCTCTCACTCTCTCTCGCTCTCGCTCTCTCTTTGTGGTAGGCTCTCTTTCTTTCTTTTTCTCACTCTCTGTCTGTCTATCTGTCCCTCTCTCTGTGGGAGCCCCTCTCCTGTCTCTCTCTCTATCTCTCTTTCTTTCTCTCTCTTATTCTTTGTCTCTCTTTC